AGTTGCCGTCAGTCATTGCAATTCGCTGTCTCTGTTGCCGATTTTCCATTTTTTGTGACTTCTAACCTCAAACATCCAAGCAACTTTTCAACGCCTCGTACATACTTGGTGATATGTAGATATCGTCAATAAACGAGAAATCACTTCAGAGTAAAGTATTCCAACACAAATAGTACAGTCTTTAATAATGATATGAATATTAGTGCAAAAACATACCAAGTCTTCAATGATGATATGAATATTAGTGCAAAGACATAACAAGTCTTCAATGATGATATGAATATTAGTACAAAGACATAACAAGTCTTCAAAGATGATATGAATATTAGTGCAAAGACATAACAAGTCTTCAATGATGATATGAATATTAGTACAAAGACATAACAATTCTTCAATGATGATATGAATATTAGTACAAAGACATAACAATTCTTCAATGATGATATGAATATTAGTGTAATGACATAACAAGTCTTCAATGATGATATGAATATTAGTGCAAAGACATAACAATTCTTCAATGATGATATGAATATTAGTGTAATGACATAACAAGTCTTCAATGATGATATGGATATTAGTGCAAAGACATAACAAGTCTTCAATGATGATATGAATATTTGTGGAAAGACATAACAAGTCTTCAATGATGATATGAATATTAGTGCAAAGACATAACAAGTCTCCAATGATGATATGAATATTAGTGCCAACATATAAGTCTTCAATGATGACATAAATATTAGTGCAAGCACATAACAAGTCTTCTTTGAAGATATGAATATTAGTGCAAACACATAACAAGTCTTCGGTGATGATATGAATATTAGTGCAAACAAATAAGAAGTCTTCAATGATGATATGAATATTAGTGCAAAGACATAACAAGTCTCCAATGATGATATGAATATTAGTGCCAACATATAAGTCTTCAATGATGACATAAATATTAGTGCAAACACATAACAAGTCTTCGGTGATGATATGAATATTAATGCAAACACATAACAAGTCTTCAATGATGATATGGATATTAGTGCAAAGACATAACAAGTCTTCAATGATGATATGAATATTAGTGCAAAGACATAACAAGTCTTCAATGATGATATGAATATTAGTGCAAAGACATAACAAGTCTTCAATGATGATATGAATATTAGTGCAAAGACATAACAAGTCTTCAATGATGATATGAATATTAGTGCAAAGACATAACAAGTCTTCAATGATAATATGAATATTAGTGCAAAGACATAACAAGTCTTCAATGATGATATGAATATTAGTGCAAATATATAACAAGTCTTCAATGATGATATGAATATTAGTGCAAAGACATAACAAGTCTCCAATGATGATATGAATATTAGTGCAAAGACATAACAAGTCTCCAATGATGATATGAATATTGGTGCAAAGACATAACAAGTCTTCAATGATGATATGAATATTAGTGCAAACATATAACAAGTCTTCAATGATGATATGAATATTAGTGCAAACACATAACAAGTCTCCAATGATGATATGAATATTAGTGCCAACATATAAGTCTTCAATGATGACATAAATATTAGAGCAAACACATAACAAGTCTTCTTTGAAGATATGAATATTAGTGCAAACACATAACAAGTCTTCGGTGATGATATGAATATTAGTGCAAACAAATAAGAAGTCTTCAATGATGATATGAATATTAGTGCAAAGACATAACAAGTCTTCAATGATGATATGAATATTAGTGCAAACATATAACAAGTCTTCAATGATGATATGAATATTAGTGCAAACACATAACAAGTCTCCAATGATGATATGAATATTAGTGCAAAGACATAACAAGTCTTCAATGATGATATGAATATTAGTGCAAAGACATAACAAGTCTTCAATGATGACATAAATATTAGTGCAAACACATCTTAAAGATAAGAATGTTATTGCAAACACAACAAATCTACAATATTAGTGCAAATACAAAACATGACTCTTCAGTCTTAATTTGAATTATATTTCAAACTTAACTCTTCGAGAGTGATATTGAATACGGTTCACCCGAATAATAACAAACATACTTAATATGAGGACGTTCAATAATCAGTCTTGTTAAACTTAATCCCTAACTCCATGACTCGACGTTCTAAGAAGTCACTCCACGACTCAATGCGCAAACTATTCGGTCATCAAGCGCCTTTCAATTTATATTGTCCCGTCTGTTCGAAACATGCACGCATTGCACTTCTTCTTTGGTAAATACACTGTTTGCTTTGCGTGCGCTCACGTGCCCTTCTGTATAATATATATCGCAAAGTCCAGTATGCGATTACTTTATTCATCGCGAGTTTCTATAATTATGTACACGTCAGTTATTATCGGGGTTCCAGATGTACTTTCATCCCCGAGGCAGTGTCTATATCTTCCTAAACGCATGTACATATCTTACGTATTGACAAGTCTTGTAAGTAATCTGTACACGTTTTTTCCTTCATCTTCCTTCTACCCGTTATTACATACGACATGCGTTATAAATTACTTATTGCGCGACATGATGACGTCACGCGCGACGTACAACTAATGCTTACTTTAAAAACAATATTTTCATCCATATTCGCCGATGATCGACAATCATTTCTGGAGCTTTGTTAGACTTTCGCGTCCGGAAAGAATCTGATATCCGCCAGTTGACATCAATTGGACGTTTTAATATCCTATAAATATCATATCTTCATCGTCGTCATTTGACGCAATGCAGACAGGGCCTCTTCGCGTTGCCGTATTGTTTCGATAAATGCAATCCACAATTGCAAGCTGCTTATCAAACATGCAAATAAACACAGTGGTATGATTAATTACGTATACCTTCACCTGTCCGATCATGACCAACTTCAATTAATGGCACCTCTAAGCAAGTGGTACATATCACCATAAAAATGTAAAAGCGAGGTATTCCTTATTTGCAATGGTTGTTAGAATGTTAAGGGACGCCCTTCAATATAACATTGACGCAGCTGTCTGAATATGCGAGTACGCAATCCGAACAAACACGTGTAATGGTCATGTAACTTCCCATTACAATTGTTTGCAATGGTTTCCTTTTTCATAACCACCGTGTCGATTGTTGGCAATACGTGTTCAGTTCTCTCAAATGCAAACGTAGAGAATTATATCGTAATTTGTAAAGATGTTTTGGCAGTGCCGGCAAGGACGGTCGTTAACTTTGAGAAATAGCGATGAAGATGTATCAATCTGACATTTAACGTAATAGAGATACCCATCAATGTGCGTCATCGAAGTAGCTATCAAATTCTATACATTAGTGACGTGGATCCTGAATATATAAGTGAGATTCTGAACTTGGATGAAAATGTTTTCTGGGCGTGATAAATTTGTGTGAATTCTTATGGGATTTATTGCATTACATCAACAATAATTTCTAGATTATTAGGTTTTTACAAAAAAATATATCATACTATACTATCAGTACGTAAGAATACACTACAAACATTATATATGCCTACTCGTATACCTATTCGTAGCGAAGTTTGATGTGATCCCGTACTGCCCAAATGCATACTTTGTGATATTTTATAATGATGTATTGTATACGTGACTTTAGGGAACGTTCCTTTGTATAATAGCTGGACCAATCCTATGTTATGTGTAATAGTAGTTATTTTTTACAATTTCGTAAGTCATACAGTGTTATTTGTTGATCTTGATGTCATGGGGACGTTCTCTGTGGCCATATTTATTCATTGGCATGGTCATATGCAATATGGATTCCTATGGGATGCCTATGGGATTTTTCTGCCATTATAATAACACAATCTTCCCCTTCTTTCTTGCAGTTTGTACACTGATTCGGCGTCAAGTATATTTATTAGTAGGTGTTACAAGCATGTCCTCGTTACCATCCATCAAGTCATACAGCAATACATTTCACATTCCATATATTACACCAAGCCTTTCCGGAACAGAAATGGGTACAAAATCGTCAGACTATTTGATTTACATGCGCCCGTCGCCAATACCAGTGTTAGCTGGGCTTATTAAGTACCACAAGTGGGATAAATTCAACTATTTATATGATGACACAGAAGGTAAGAGGATTATCTCTTTCTCTCTCGCCATCTTAAATCAATTTGACTACTAAATTGAGATAGGTGCGATGTTTGTTATTCTTACAATGGCAATGCACACGTACTTCATTTAAATGTGTTTGTATGCACGACCTTAATTGTAATTGACATATGAATAATATTATTGTGTTGCTGAAACATTGGAAGCATTACTCTACCAACACAATGCGTTAGACAATTAAATTCTTCCTATTTTGTAAATGTATCTATTAGTTTCGGTCCACATATTTAGTCTGTATAATGTCCCTCGGGGTCTTTAGTTTATTGTGCACTGTGTTCACGAAAGCCTCCGCTGTGCTGGTAGGTGCTTTGCTTTGCATTATATTATGAAGTGCATGGTGCTGATGTGCATAAAACATAATACATAATCGCAATGTACTGTGATAAAATTGACGCCTTCACATAACAACACACACACACACACACACACAAAGAAATCACATTTTCAAACATATTAAATATCATGTGTTCATCGTGTTTACACTTCAAACCAAAAATGCAAAACGAAAGAGAAATTTGCATTGTAATTCATTTAAATAACATCATTACATCTATTACAAAACACTATTTAGCAGTTTCTATAACAAATCGTAATTATTTTTGTTCATACATGCCTTTTATAAAAAAAAATACCAGAGAGAAAAGATAAAAAAATAATGTTTTATGCATTCATCTATTATTTTGTAGATTCAAACTCAATCGCTTCTGTCGACGTGTCGTTAGTAATTATTCTGATTGATCATCGCGCGTCGCAATACACACACTGTTAACCTTCAAATATATTCTACACCGTATAATGTACGCCGGGAGGCTAAACAGTCGTTTTCCTCTCATTATAACAACATTCAGTACTGATTAAACAATTAGGTTGTACTTAGCGATCGATGCCCGGCAGCCATTTTGTTTACTCTGTCATAATTTAGCATTTCAATCGCACGACATCACAACGGAAAATTTGATTGTATTTTACGTTACCAAGGTATATTAGTACCACCGCGAGTGATGACGTCCGATTTAATCTAAGTTACCCCGGGTATATATATAGCACCGCATGCAATCAATGACTCCACGTGCAATACTGTGTGATCTCCGTTTCTTAATATGGGTAAATCTTACCTAAAAGACATTCTCACTGATTTATTTCTCCCTATTACTATGAACAGTCTGTCGTTATTGCTTGTATAATCATAAACTGCATTACCAACAAATAGAGCTTTTTTTTCATCTCATTGGTCGTTGTTGTCATCCGATCGAAGTAATCTGATTACAGAACTACTGTAGAAAGAAAAGGTTGAATCTCGTGTATAATTAACTGGCACTACATGGATGTCATAATATGACCATGTCAGGCGTTCGTCAAATGGAACATGATTGACTCTCGCTCCCAGTCTCGCTTTATTTCCTTCCCTTCTGATTCCGTGTTTTTAGTGATTTTTGTTTTTTGTTCACTGCCTTGCGCCGCGTCTTCAACCGAGCAGATTTACTCACCTGTTTAGTATGCACTGCGGTATTTCCTCTCACATTTTGTTTTGTTGGCGAATCCATCACGAAAGGGGGCCTTTAAGTAAACATGTTGGATGATGCCGTCACCTAAGAGATCTTTCCGTTAACACAGCGGCCTTGTCACCATTTGCATCTAACGCTACTTATCTGTAGCTCTCGCCGGATATTGCACTTAACTCGAGTCCCTTCACTGGTGAATATATTATCATGGTCAAGCAACATATCAGTTCATGAATTAATATCTGTTTAAAGGCGAGTTTTTCATTTTTTCCCCTCAGTCATGGTTCACTTAAATACAATTTATTTTAAAACTAGCTTAAAATTGGAAATAACCAAACTCGATTACGAAAATATGTTTTATACAATTGACGGCGTATGAAAATGGCGAACGATGCGTTATGATTTCCCTGTCATTTCGCTTGTCTAATTTCTATATTCAAATAATCGTGCATCGTGTTGATATTTTGTATTAACGCGGTTAATAAAATCGATATTTTCTAACAGTAATTCGTTCGTTATTATAATACAAATATATTATACCGAATAAAACAAACTCTGGTTACAGTTATTATTATTTTAGTAGTAATACACTGTTTTGACCGCTGTTGTGGCGAACGTTCACTGTTCAAAATTAAGTGTTTATGGATTAATTAAATTTTATGGATTACACCCTAAATAATATTTATTAATTGTCGTGTTCATGTCGGAATTCGAGAATCAGGATGTGGTATGTTATAAAATCAGTATTGACTGGCTTTCTTCGGGCAATCGCATACGCCTATACCCCCCTCGGAATTGTTAGTTGTCTACATGGCCTCGGGACTAATTTTGTGAGTGATACAAAATCAGTCTGACAAAAGACGCTTTTTATTGTTCTTCTGGTCAGTCAATAATCGTTCACTATTAACTGGTAAATGCGCGAATCTTATGTGCGAGTAGAACTGTGATGTATAATAATATATTATTGTATATATTATATTATATTGTAATAATTTCGCCTAATGCTGGGATATTATGGTATTCTGTAGTCCCTCTACATAGCAGTCTATAATGCACATTCCATCTAGATGAAGCACAGAAAAGACGCCTGAGAAATGTATGCGATCATTGTGGATATATTGACACGGAAAATAATTTTCTAGCTGGCGATATTTCACTAGTTTCCGGCAAAAAAACAACGTAATAAAAGTTCTATAGGAATAGTCTGGGCGTTATCATTCCCTGATGTAGATACTACGGAAATGAATACAATAAACATCGCTTACGACTTTAGTACACTTTGCAATAATATATCGCATTGGAGTCCAGGATTTGAATGAATAACACAGACCAACACAGCTGTGTTGACAATTTAAATAATTGCAGGTTAATGGAGTCCCTGGTCGATCGCTAACAATCGCGTCTATGATCAGTTTGATTAAGCATCTCTCTGTATGCATTTCAATAATCTATTCTGTGGTCCAGAAATACATGCACACACAATGTAATCTCGTTAATATCGTTCATGTGAGACCGGCTACACTAAATTGCCGCTCAACTTAATTAAATGCTCCAAACTGAAATACTAGTCTTCCTTCATAACATGGAGCAGTACTTGCCTTCCCTAGTACTAGTAGCATGAATCAATACCTGTATTCATTCATGGAATGAAGCTTGACTTGCCTCCTATCATAATAGCACGGAGCATTACTTGCTTTGCTGTATAGCATGGAGCAATACCTGCCTTCCCACATAGTTAGTATAAAGCAATACCTGCCTTCCCACATATCATAGAGTAACATTTGCCTCCACTCATAGTATACGGCTGTACTTGCTTACAACAATAACATGGAGCAATACTTGCTGTCCCGTTATAGCATAGAGTAATACTTGCCTCCGTAGAATGGAGCAAATGTTTACCAAACGATGCAGACAATATGTTGCAATTATTGAATAATTCTTAATTACAAAGGTCATTGTTAATGGCAGGATTTTATTTTACCGTAAAATGTATCGCCCATTTCTTTGTTCAAAATCTATGTGGATTCAATTTCACGAGTCGTTTTAATTGTATTACATTATTGTCTCTAGACGTCCGCCACGGTATGCATTGTGTCTCTGGACGTACAGCTCCTCAATATTTTTTATGTACACTACAATTTGCCAGGTATTCCTGGACGCACCCTACAACGTGTCAGAGAGTTTCTAGACATAAGCTACAGCGTATCGGGCAAAACGGGAAAAAATACCACGAGGTGACAGTTGTTCCTGAACGTACACCACAGTATGCCAGACGATTCTGGACACACGCCACAGCGTTTCAGATCATGATGTGTCTTGATGTACATAACAATGCTTCAGGCGTTATTGGTCGTATGCCACAGCGTGGCATGCGTTTCTGAACATTAACCAAAGCGTTTCAGGTGTTCCTAGGCGTACAACTCATCGTTGCTGCTGCGTGTCAGCTGCTTCTGGGCGAACGCCACAGACGCAGTCAGGCGTTTCTGAGCGTATATCACAGTGTCTCACGTGTTTCTGGACGTACGCTACAGCGTGTTTGACGTTTCTGGGCGTACATCGCAGCGTGTAACATAAATCTGGACGTACACCACAGTGTGTCAGCGTTGATTTCGTGTAAAACTACTAAAAATTGTCCAGCATGGTGGACTTCTAAATCACTTTATCAAAACATGTTTTCTTGCCCGGTGATATGTCAGTCATGTGTAATGTTCTTAATCTTATCGTGTTGGCCAGTCTTGTCACGCATTCGACTCTCCTTGGCTGCGTGACTTGAATTACACTTACCCACACAGGCGTATGGCAAATATAGAATGAAATAATAAACACGAAATATATTGAGATTTGATAAAAACCAAACTACCTTGATGCGAAGTTATAGTTAATATGTGTCATTAGCCGCGGCGAGTACGGGCACAATAATTATAAACATCTGTCTTTAATATGAAAATCGTTTTTTTGTATTATATTATTTTTAGACATACATAACATTTTGTATATGGTTCATGGTGGTACTACATGACACACGGTACGAAATCATGCGACGTTATTTCAGTTATCACGTCGGTCATTGCTTGGCTGGAAATTCTGACTTTCCATTAAAAATTTTACATTTGTAACGTAGTATAGATAATAACAATGAAGGTGGTAACAAGTAATTCATTGTGATATACAGAGCGCCCGAGTAACAATACAGCAGTGTGTGTTGACTGCAGCAGCGTTCAGAGTTCAAGCCGGGGAAAACCTTTCCATGACAAGAACCGTTATGGAGTCATAACAAATCTACAAGATTGTGTCTGATTGGCTGCCCAACCATATCACCAAACAGTCAGACCAATCAGAGAACAGCTTGTTTGTCAACAGGTTTTTTGACGCATCAAATTACAATTATTTCACGTGGTACAATACCAAATTATAATTCATTGAGAAATATTGACTCTGACTAAAATACTAATAATGTAACCAGATAACATAGTCCAACGCCGACGGTGTGTAATATGTGCCTATGATAATGACAATTCTAACCCGACTGCGTTACTTTTCAGTGATTTCAATACTACAACAGTCCTCCGTCGCTATTCCAGCTGTGTTTACGCTTTTGTTGTCTGAATCGATCGTCTTAATAATTAATCTCGTTACGTCTTGCTCATCGATGTGGTCCAGTTACTAAAAGTTAATTTATTGGAGCGCCTCCTGAAGCAGGCAAGCATTGACCTCAATTAAGTCCCTAACAATGCCCAAACTAATGAGAACATGCGGGCGACAAAGATCATCCTTCCTTTATTTCCTCTTCCTAATTGTTTAGTAGACGATCATTTGAGGCGAAAAACGCAAATGCAATTATGATAGTGTAAATTGGAATGGGTTCACTCTTGGCCCTTTAATGCAATGGTATCCATATCGACATACATGATGTATGTCAGACTCAATCTTCAACGCCGCGTGATTTGTTACAAATGTACCTCCGGCTTGCTTCCTATGTGGATATGGACGCATAATACATATTGTGAATGTCCCAACTGAGCTATGTGTAGTCTGAAACGACTAGCACTATCGAATTTATCAATGTATTGATAGAATAATTGTTGGCTTTATTTTGTATAATGTATAATCAGAGGCGGCGGGGGATGGACGAAATTGTGCATAGGGGGATCTGCTCACCATCCCTTGCGCCCCATAGTCGCGCATTTTAGGGGAGGGGCGCAAAGCACCACCACCCCGGTGCCACCCAGCTTTTTTATATCTTTCACCAAAGGTAGCGTGATTGGGGTTTACAATTGTACGCGAAGCTAGTGCGTGGTTGGGACGTGTAATGTTACGCGGAGCTGGCAAGTGATTGGGGCGCGCAATGTTACGCGGAGCTGGCGCGTGATTAGGGCGTACAATGTTACGCGGAGTTGGCGCGTGATTGGGGCATGGAATAATACGAAAAGCAGGTACGTGATTTGGGCTCGCAAATGTACAAAACGCAGGTACGTGATTGGAGCGTGCAATGGTACGCGAAGCTAGGGCGTGATTGGAGCGTGCAATGTTACGCGAAGATAGTGCGTGATTGGTGCGTGCAATGGTGCGCGGAGCAGATGCGTGATTGGAGCGTGCAATGGTACGCAGAGCTGGTGCGTGATTCGGAGTGTACGATGGCAGACGGAGCTTGTGTGTGATTGGAACGTACAGTTGTGCATATATAGACATACCTATATAGAATAAAGCTAGTGCTTTTAGACGCAGGCTATAGTTACTTTGGGATGATTAATCAATTATTTTGTTTTTTAAGTTTAAAATATTTTGATCTTGTTTTACTTCTTCAGTCAACAGTGTCGACATTGACGTCTCCCTTCCTGACATCCAAGTTGCTTCAGTTTAAAATACACTGACACGTATAGAGCATAAAACGGCTTCTTATCTGATCTGGCCACAAATGCAGTTACTGAATTCCCAGAATGACCATCAGTCCCATGGAGTCAGATAACAATTTGATTTAGTTGAAATGAACCTCATTCATGTCCAATTAATTCTTCCCGGGTAAATCTACCATGCTAATTTGCGTACATTATTCTTTGAGCAGAAAAGACGATGACAGAGCACCTGGCTAGTACGCGTTCCCATCACATTTGACATATCGGATGTTATAATTTTTAAATGAATTAAAATACACACAGAGCGGGTTGCTATGGTTCAATGGACAGAAGTCGTGCATCTGACATGACAATCATTCTCCAGGCTAATTTGAAATCTACGTGTATCGAATGTGACATTCGCTGCAAATATCCTCACGTTGTAAACAGAACGGGTCATCTTGATGAACACTCGGTGGGATTGAAGGGACACATGGCGCGGCAATATTGGTGATCTGTGAACGTCGAAACAACACGGCGGTGCAGTATACATGTTATTTGCTGTAGTATACTTTTTTTCAAACCCGGGTGTAATAATTAATAATATGTTGGTGAATCTAGCTTCATTGTTTTATGTATAAGTTGATCGTAATTAATGTTGCTCCACTCTGTTTCGTTCACATTGTAGTATGTACGATACTTTCGATACCGAACAATTCTTTGTTGGGCACCCTATATCCATTGACTAGGAAAGTACTATGTCTTTGTTATAAACAGTCCGCTTTACCGCAGTCAGTTTACAGCTTTCTGTAAGTGCCTATAACACTAACCTAGAAAGGACTGTTCCTTTGTTGAAATTTATGATTTAAGGAGTACGCGCACATAGTCATTGAATGGGCTAAGCAAGTGATTTGTAATGTGATGCAGTAAGTAGTCAATCTATGATATGTACAGGACATACGTTTTATAGGTCATAGGTCAATTGTAGTTCTGTACAAACGAAGTTACGTAACACAATGTTACCCAGAAAAAACAACAACATAAAACTCGTCAAATTTTCAGTATAGCATCGTCAGAGTTACTCATTATTCAGCTTGCCTCGAACTCTTACCAGACCTCGGCCCAAAACATCACGGTGATTAACCTCGAAGTCGTACTCTAATTGTCATATAAATACGTATATTGATTGGAACACGCCCGCCTCTCAAACACATAAATTGTGTTATTAGATCACAATAACCGATTTTCTAATTTCAAGTGCCCTTGATATACTGTTCAATGACGCCACAGTAATGCTCCAGGTTCTTTCAAAATTCATACAGGATACGCGCTTTCAATGGCGTATGTTCACACATTTTTTTTACAAAGCGGCTGAACATAACCATGGTTCACAGTACTATTAGTTTGACGTTTAACGTCAAACACCTGCTGTTATGAAAAATAGAAATTTCAAAGATATATATTTGTTGCTTTTAAACGACCAACGACGAACGAGGACAAAATTATGACGTATTCAGAGAAAACACCACACATGAACCAACGCAAATGGTATATTGATATATCTGTTATGGCGAATGAAATCAGGCTGGTATTCTAAACGAAAGAGCAACTCATTATTCCTGTCAACTTGAATGAATAATGATGAGTAGTGATTGCATTAAATCATTCATAAATAAAACATAAACGCAAAAATGCAATTTCTTTAGAAAAATAATAAGTCGCCCCGAGAGAGTTACGATTCAAAGTGTAAAGGGCGTAGGCGTGTGGAATATGAGTTGACATCATTCAATTGTATGTGTGTGATGTAGGCCACAAATTTTCCAACATTTTATTAATTCGCGCTTCGTTTAGGTTAAAAATCTTATTTATTTACTTTTTATTCATTCATTCATTCATTCATTCATTCATGCATTCATTCATTCACTCACTCACTCACTCACTCACTCACTCACTCACTCACTCACTCACTTATTTATTTATTTATTTATTTATTTATTTATTTATTTATTTATTTATTTATTTATTTATTTATTTATTTATTTATTTATTTATTTTTCAACTGTTGGATAGGTGGGATCAAAACTGAATTTGTTGAAATTAGAAAAGTGTTCATGGTTGAGCACATAATCACCCCCGCCAGCAATATCACTTAAACAAATTAAACCTGTAAGACCGACTCACAGTAGCGAGTTTTGTAGCAAGGCTGTAACGCAACTCATATAGAACAATGCGATGGTAGAAAAAGTCAAAACTTTTCAGGCTTGAATTTTTTAGTTTGTCAAAGAGTTTATAAACAGTAATGCAACTATCACGGGGAAATTCTCTTCTTCTCGGGGTTCTCCACACGTGCCAGGGGGAATTATCGTCTCGTCTCTCTATCGCGTTCCCTTGAGGTACGGGATCGGGAGAGTCACTTAAGCTTCACAGTCAAATAGACACACACAACGAAATACGTTTCAACTCTCGTCTTAGTCGGTCAGTCGAGCACTCTATAAGACACAGCGCCCTGGGAAAAAGTCCCCAAGACTATCTATCGCAAGGCTGACCCA